GAATTTCTACTTTTATTTTTTCACCTTCTACTTTATTCTACTATGCCATATTTCAGTATCAACCGACAAAATATTGAAAATGAACTTGTATGAAGATGAAATTAATACATTAATTGCACAAATGACTCCGGAAGAAAAGGTGGGCCAAATGACACAAGTTACAATCGATTTAATATTAAAGAACCCAAATGCATTGGCGGATTTAACCGAAGTTGATGCAAATAAATTAAATGACACTGTACACAAATACAAAGTTGGATCAATTTTGAATGTTGCTGCAGGTGGCGCTTACAGTCTTAACAAATGGCATGAGATCATCAAACAAGTTCAAGACTCTGCTAATAAAACACGATTACAAATTCCGATTCTGTATGGGATTGATAGTATCCATGGAGCTAATTATATTCAGAATGCTCTTTTATTTCCACAAGCAATCGGATTAGCTGCAACGTTCAATCCTGAACTTGCACATGATATCGGAAAAATTGTTGCTCATCAAACAAGAGCTGCAGGTATACCTTGGAATTTCTATCCAGTTGTCGATGTTGGTCGTCAAAAACTATGGTCACGACTTTGGGAAACATTTGGTGAAGATGTTAAACTTGTCACAGATATGGGCCGTGCTTACTTGGAAGGAATGCAAGGAACAAATTTAACATCACAACAGAGTGTAGCCGGCTGTCTAAAACATTACGCTGGCTATGGGTTTCCTCTTTCAGGAAGAGATCGAACGCCTGCAGTGATTGATGAACGTATGATGCTCGAGTATTTCTTACCCCCGTTTGAAGAAGGAGTGAAAGCAGGTGCACTATCTGTTATGATTAATTCGGGCGAAGTGAATGGGATTCCGGGACATGCTAATCACCACTTATTAACCGAAATATTAAAAAACACATGGAACTTTCAAGGATTTACCGTCTCTGACTGGGAAGATATCATACGATTGTATACACGAGATAAAACGGCTGATAGTCCAAAAGAGGCAGTACGACAAGCTGTCATGGCAGGTGTTGATATGTCTATGGTTCCATTCGATTTTAGTTTCTTTGATTTGGCAGTCGAGTGTGCTGACGATGGTACCATTCCAATGGATCGCATAGATGATGCTGTAAGACGTATTCTTAGAGTCAAATTCGCATTAGGTAATAAAGTTTTTAAATTTTAGTATTTTAATCTCAATACTTCATTCGATAGGAACGCTGAAAATCCTATGGCTTTCATCTTTTAGGCTTGTTTGATGGTAAAAGCGCCTGGCCCGATACTAACGCAGCGGCAACTTTCAATAACCCATCGTTTGATGCTACAAATCTTCAAGCTGCCCAAGAAAGTATTACTTTATTGAAAAATGATGGTGTTTTACCTTTACCAAAAACCTTTTCTAAAATCCTCGTCACTGGTCCTGCTGCAGATAAATTAACAGTTCTCAACGGTGGTTGGTCACTGGTTTGGCAGGGAGATAGAGAGGACTTATATCCAAAAAACTGGACGAATAAAACTATCCTCAAGACACTTCGAACACAATTCGGTGAAGGCAAAATTGATTATATCAATGGAACAGATTTTGATAAAATTATCGATGTTAAAGCTGTTATTGATGCTGCAGCTACAGCTGATTATATTCTTGTTTGTCTTGGAGAAAAGCCGTACACAGAAACATTTGGCAATATTGCTGATCTCACATTATTCGAAGCACAATTAGAGTTCGTCGAACAATTACAAGCAAATATTAGTAAACCTATCATCGTCGTTCTAGTTGAAGGACGACCACGTATAATTCGACGAATTGCAGATATATCATCAGCTATCATAATGATGTATTTGCCAGGAATGGAAGGAGGTTCGGCTTTAGTCGATGTACTTTTTGGTGATTACAATCCAAGTGGTTTATTACCATTCACATATCCGAAATATCCACATTTGTTAACAACATACGATTATAAGTGGAGCGAAGTACTAGTTGACAATAAAATTGATCCTCAATATGAATTTGGTCACGGTCTAAGTTATACGACATTTGAGTATAAGAATCTTAAATTATCCAGCACTGAAATGCAATGGAACGGCGATATACAAATTTCTATTGACGTTGCGAATGTGGGTAAACTATCTGGTAGTCATACTGTACTACTCTATGTTTCTGATTATTATCGATCAATAACACCACCAAACAAACAATTGAAAGGATTTAAGAAAGTTTTACTTCAACCAACGAAATCAGAGACAGTCACATTTTCATTAGACAGAAACAATCTATCATTTATTGGTATCGATAACAAACGTATAAGTGAGGCCGGTTTATTCGGAGTAAAAATTGGAGATAAAAGCGCTAATTTCACATTATTGGCATCAAATGATCCTGTCCCA